AAATCCCGCAACCTTCTTTGCATCCATCAGAGAGACGCTTGGTGTGCTGCAGATGCTTGAAGTAAAGAAGGATGACAGAGAGGTGTGCAATCTGATGCTTGAGGGGCTGTCGCCCGAGCACAAGACTTTGCGTGAGACTCTTGTGGTGTTCTGTTCGAAATGACCCGTCGTTCATCGAGACTAAAGTGCGTGAGCGTTACCTGGACTTGCTAGCACAGGGTGGTTCCGAGAAGCAGAGTAGTGTTGCTCTGGTGTCTAGGCCTGAGAGGAAGAAGGGTCGCATCAAGAAACAGCACAACAAGCCGAAGTCTAACTCTGAGTCTGATTCATCCCAGAAGAAGTCATTTCAGGGGAAGTGTTTCAAGTGTGGGGAGAAGGGTCACATGAAGATCGACTGCAAGGCTCGCATCATCCCTCATCCCTCCCAGACTGGAAAATCCGAGGCCGACGAGGGTGAGAGCGGTGAGAAATTTGACTTTCGCGATCTGATGTGTCTAGTTGCTGACATCCCAGAGTACCTCAAATACGGCGATGACGATGACTTGTTTATTGCCTACAGCGAACTAGTGATCCTAACAGCGTTTGACCAGCTGAGCAGCATGATGTATGATGTTTCCGGTCTGAAGTTTCTAATGACGTCGCGGGAAGATTTGGTTATGAGGGCTATCAGCGATGATATGATCCTGAAAGCTGTCAACAAGTCTAGATATGTCGAGGATTGGTATGCTGACACCGGCACTGCTTTTCACATGACTGATTCCCTCTCTTGCATGAAAGACTTGAAGCCTTGCCACAAAAGTGTGAATGGGATTGGTGGCGTGTCTTGTGAGGTAGCATTCTCTGGAACGCTGGAGTTGGTGTTTGTGACTGCTGACAGTGAATTTTCCGTGGAGTTGAAGAATGTGTTGTACTCTCCAAACTTAGGGTATAATCTCTTTTCTCCGAGTGCAGAGTTTGATGGCGAGTCATGGAATGGTCTTGGTGGTCCTGATGGTGTGATGACTGCTTTCAATGGACAAGTAACCTTTCAGAACTTCGATGGCATGCTGATTGCGTCTGCGTATCGTCTAGGAGAAGCCTCTGTTGGCACGGTGTTGGCTGCTCTCACTCCCGCAAACCCCAAGCATGAAACCACGATGGATATCAACGAGTTCCACAACATTTACGCTCATTCGCACGAGGGTTTGCTTCGCACTACTGCAAAGCGACTAGGTACCAAGTTGGTTGGTGACATGCATGCTTGTTCAGGGTGTTCGATGTCAAAGGCTCGAAAAGGAATCGTTAGAGAAATCAAACGTAGATCGGATAAAAAGTTAGGCAGAGTTTTTGATGACCTGGGAGGAAGGAAGGACATTGCGTCCGTAGGGGGTAAACATTATCCCATGATTGTGAAGGATGATTTCACGAGACGTACATGGA